TCCACTTATGCAGCTGGCAACTTTCGTGGTCGCTTTGACCAGTACTACATTCCCTGATGGTCAGCCTGCTGGTAACTTTGAAGTTCATTTCGTTTCAAATGGGGATTACTAGCACAACGGTCTTCTCAGAAGTAATTCGGTTAAGGCTTTAGCTGTTTCGGAGTGTCACTGGTATGTTTTCGATTGTTGAAAGTGCTAGACCACGATGAGGCATCATAATAACTTGGACAGGAAAACTGCACTGTTGGATGGAGTAAAATTTAACTTTAGATTTGAAATAAAAATTGCCAGAGTGGTGCAAAAATTGAGTACGAAAGCCAACAGAGAGGTGCATAAAATTTTTCTTGAAAAACAGTCCAAAAGTTGATCTATAATCTGAATAATCTCGTACCACGTCTGCCTCTTATTTATTCCGTTATACCGGTTGGGCTTGAACCAGCTTTCAAGCAATTCCGCTGCACTGGTTTTTGGTTTTGTTCCAAATTCAAACTGAAATACTACTGCAGAATTTAGGCAAAGTACGAAATTTTGTTGACTGAATTTTTAATTCCCTCTCAGGAACTGCTTACAGGCTAGCTGATTGAGGCATTTTACCTTATTTCTCCAGATTCGAATAAAAAGTATTAAATTTCTGCCATATTAAGTACTAGTAATATTTTCTTTAGAACTCAGCGTATGTTTCCTAGAAAAGGCCTATTCCTGGCTACAGCAGCGGAAGCTGCCGTTGGGACAGTATGCTGTTGATGAATTTGTATATTATTCACGGATGGTGTGGACCGTCTATAAGTTAAAATGCACCAGTAACTGAAAGTCTGAAATGCACCAGTAATTGTCCCTCTTCCCTTTATTTTCTACACTCCCGTTTTGTTTCCGAATTATTTCAAATCAATTTCCCGACAAACGACGTTTATATGTTTTTGCATATTACGCAAATACAGAAGCGCATATTGGCAAGAGATTGACTGCGTGTGTGTGTGTGTGTCTGATTGTTTAGCATTTTTTATTATGCGTTTTTTGCTGTGTAACAGCAGTACAAAACGCGTATTGTTACGGGGTTGTCTGTGTGTGTGTGTTTGTGTGTGTGTGTGTGTCCGCAGCAACTTGTCCGCAACTTTCAACTCGGGAACCACAAGCTAGGAAAAGCGCTGAATAGGGTAACGTTTCCCACCCACGTGTGACCCCACAAATTTAAATTCAGCTTCCCCGTACCCACGGGTAACGTGTACGGCCGGACGTTCCCCACCCATGTGTGACCCCGCAAATTTAAATTCAGCTTCCCCGTACCCGCGGGTAAGACGTTCCCCACTCACGTGTGACCCTTCAAATTTAAATTCAGCTTCCCGGTACCCACGGGTAACACGACCCACGTGTGACTCCGCAAATTTAAATTCATCTTCCCCGTACCCGCGGGTAACGCGTACGGCCCTGTGAAAGTTTTTTAACCACGTGTGACCCCGCAAATTTAAATTCAGCTTCCCCGTACCCGCGGGTAACGCGTACGGCCCTGCACGTGTGACCCCGCAAATTTCACAAAGCTAGGAAGCTGAAAATTTAGGGTAACGTTCCCCACCCACGTGTGACTCCGCAAATTTAAATTAAGAGCTAGGAAGCTGAAAATTTAGGGGAACGTCCCCCACCCACGTGTGACCCCGCAAATTTAAATTCATACCCACGGGTAACGCGTACGGCCCCCTGAAAGTTTTTCACCGGGAAGTAAATATCTCGGGAACCACGGGCGGGTAACGCGTGCGGCCCTGTGAAAATTTTTTACGGGTAAGTTAATATCTTGGGAACCACGGAGTCTAGGTCAACGGTACGGCCCTGTGAAGGTAAGTTAATATCTCGGGAACCACGGAGTCTAGGAGGTTGAAATTTTAGGGTAATGACCCACTACCATGCTCAACCTTGCCCATTCGAATTCAGCCTTCCCTTACCGCGGGTAATACGTACGGCCCCGTGAAAGTTCTCCACGGGTAAGTCACGGGTAAGTTAATATCTCGGGAACCACGGAGTCTAGGAGGCTGAAGTTTTA